CAGAAGAAGACTGGCACTGACAAGTGTGTGTGTGTGTGAGTGAGTGAGAGAGGGGGGGGTGGGGGGGGGGCTTCTGCCCTTCCCAGTTTCATACCCCTTGCCAATTTCTGCTCATACACTTTGCACCTTACCCTCTGCTAGACTCTATAGCAATCAATGATGGATCATTAGTGAATAATGAAAAATTCAAAGGAAATGGCTGGGCCTAATTTGAGGAACTGTTCTGTGGCTGAGTAAAACTAAGAAACACCTCCACCAGGATAGCAGATCTCTGGGATGAGATGCATCTCAGGCCTCTAGAATACACACATCGCTACTAAATCAAAAATGTTCAGTCTCAGCACAGTACAAATAAATCTCATGTGTTACATACCTCCAACACAGGATTAATTAATTAAATCAAAAACTTCCACTCAATTCCATCCATCTATCTAAGGCTCTAGAGCTCTTCTGGACCTTGGCCACTTTTTCAGTATCTTACCAGTTGGGAAGCCTCCCTGGACAGGAGATCATCCGGTTGGAAGGCCACTACCTATACAACCTACACACAATACAAACACAGAACAAGCGGAATAAACACAAACAAACATCCATTTCTCGAGAGGAATTCGAAGCAACAATCTGTCTGTGAGAGGGGTACACGTTTCCATCATTATAACGCACTACAGCCTTCAAAACAATCCTAAAAATGGTTACTGCCACCGAATACTTAGGATCGATGATTAATAATTGCTACAGTATCATCTTACAACTGTGCACGGATCAATTTTGCTACAATTTTGCATTGGTATTAAAGGTATCAAGTTCCATATAAAACACAATAATTCACTGTCGGTTGCGGTGCAATGTCTGAGAAAAGTCCTGCTAGTACGGTTTCAAGTGTGTCTTCTTTGTAGCAGTCCTGTGGTCTTCTTTGCGGTCACTCAACCGTCGGCAGCGGTCGGCAGGTCAATTGTGTACTGGTGGAAAAGATAACCTTATCTCATCCCCATGGTTTTTGGTGGGGGGGGGGGTAAAGGACGACTGGCAAACTTACTGCTATCTGAGAGCTGACTGTCCACATAAAATGTGAATGTTTGAGATGACTCAGTATGTATAGACTGTGTTCATGTGGCTGAGGACAGGCACTAGTGGGAGGCTTGTGTGAAATTGTCAGTGAACGTTTTGGTTCCATAAAATGTTTGGAAATTCTGTAATAGTGGAGTGATTGTTAGCTTCTGAAGAAGGGCTCGTTTCCATGGCATTTGTAAACCTTGGTCTGTGCAAGGCTTCTTGCTGAATAACAAAGATGTAAGTGAGAAGTTCTCCGTCTGTTATTACTTGACGAACATCCTGTGTGGGCATTCTTATGAAAGAGGAGGCATGCATGTGTGTGTGTTTGAGAGAGAGAGAGATAGATATGACCCAGTATGATGAACATAACATGGGTTTCACAGTTCACTGATAACCTCCAAAAACCCATAACATATGTACATATCAAAATAAAAATGTGTCCTGCCTACAGTGAAGAAATTCCTGTAAAATTGCAGCTATAATAAGATGATAAGGAAGAGAGAAGAGCATGCTCATTATGTTAGCTCATTCTTCTTAATGTAAC